AATCTAGGTACGATCAGGTACAGCTTGGTTTTCAGCCAATCACCGATGAGGAAGCTCGACCAATGATACACCGGGGAACATGACATCCAAGTTGGTACATATGTTGCTTCAGCGAAAACAATTACGTGGTTTAACGACGGTTCATCATCCAATCATATGGCTTATTACCTTATATAAAACATACTCCAGTTCTATTAATAAACACCAGCATTTACTGCTATTTCATTGGTGTCCACAGTTAGGGTTAGAGCCAATGCAGTCCTGAGCATTACGGTATGGTTTATCATATTCCTACATTCAGTGATATTCCGGTTATCACAATTCGGCTTCCCGCAATGGAGATTCCTGCCATTGAACAATTGAACCTCCACGAAAGCTCATCGGACATCGAAGAGTTGGTAGAACGCTTTGAATTATGGTGTAGCATCCGGAAAGAAGGAATGCAAAATCAATCGGTCTTATGTTTGACTTTGGGCGGCCGAGAGATATATTCCCTAGTGAATAATCCAGCTCTCCCGAATATTGCTGCTGAATTGCCGTTTGAGAAATTGAAATCCCTATTGCTGGACCACGTTTCCCCAGTGGATTTTGATGCAACTGAACGGGCCATATTTAACACAATAATCAGAGCTGCCAACATGCCGTGCCGTAAATTTATTCTTCGGTTGAATAAAGAGGCGACAAAATGCAACTATAGTGATTGATTAGAAGAACAACTTTGTGATCGTCTCATTGCTGGAATCAACAACATCTCATTACAACGTAAGATGTTGGAAAATAAAGACCTTGCGTTTGCTGAGGCTTAAAATATCTATAAGCAAAGTGATGATTTGTGTACTGCCACAAATGCGGATACTCCCGTGTTATTCCATAGGCAATCAACGAAATCATTACGTAATGCATAGTGTTCATAAATCATTCCCGTTTCCTCAAGTATCCATTTAAAGCCGGACACATTCGAAGGCTGCAACCAACCACTGCTTTTCATATGGTGAATACCACCTTCGTTCTACTTGTCGGTTCCGCAATGCCATTTGCTATGCATGTGGTAAAATGGGCCATATCCGCAAGGTATGCCGATTGCCCAAATGCAACCTTTTCGGTTGCCATATTCCAACGCCAGATGCGAATTCAAGCCCAATTTAAACGCTGCAGACCGCTGAACCCAACAACCAGTTTGTGTTTGCCCCACTGAAGTTCCAGTCAGATGCGGAGTATCAATTCATCATGGGTACAAGCAGCAACGAATCTATCCTACCGAAACCAGAACTCACTGCGAATTGTCCCAATACTGTTCTAGCCCCGACTTCAGTGAGCATTCATGGGGTTACCGGTAATCAATTGCAATTGCTTGGTGAAACGATGTTGTGTTCAATCTAAGTCCAGTGTGTCAATCCCGATCCGATTCCTGGTATCAGCCCACAGTCCGTCCATTATGGGCCTGCGAGCAATGCGACTATTATAACGGTCAATCACACTACATACTAGCAACGATAAGCCAATCAACTCACATCTCCTACTTTTGATTGTACAATGTTCTGATAAAGTTGGTTGCATGGAGGTACCATCAGCTAAGTTGGAAGTGGACGGTGAAACTGTTTTTCTAAAACTACGCGTTCTCCCATACGGTCAATGGAAGGTGTCCTGAGAGCCTTACAGAAAATGGAAAGGCAAGGTGTGACAGGCAAAGCTGAATCCAGTGCCTGCGCGACCCCAATCGTCGTGGCGATGAAAAGTGATGGTAGGACGCTACGGATCTGTGAATACTATCAACTGACGGTAAATCCCAGATTGCGGAGATGTGCAGCGACCACCATGAAACTACAGGATTTCATGAAATCACTGCATGGGTGCCAATATCTTTCCGAGATCGATATGGCGGACGTATACCTGTAGATTCCACTCGATATCGAATCTCGCTACTTTNGTACCAGTATAATTTTCTTCCGTTCTGATTGCATGTGTTGTCTGGCCTCTTCCAATCAGCAATAGACGATGCAATAAAAGAACTCGACGGTGTGCTTGCATATTAAGACGATGTCCTCATTTTCGGTCTTAATAAGACAGAAAACGATGCTCGTCTTACGCAGCTACTAGAAAGATTGGTCGCCAGGAACGTGGCTATCAAGCCGTCCATATGTGTTTAGCGTGAACGAGTTGGAGTTTCTAGGATTCACAGTTGATTCCCAATCGGACACGTTTCAAACCACTGAATTACATCGAATCCCCAAAGAACCAGACGCATTTGAGATCCATGATGGGATGCCTACAATAATATTCCCGATTTTTCCCGAACTTTGCTGCAAGGGCGCAGTCGGTTTTCCGGGTTCAATGTTGAGATACTTGCAAATGGTTGGTGAAGCGTAAATATACCTTACGTGGTTTAATTCGCTGCGTTTCTGGTCGTCCTGTTTTGGCCCCATTTTCACCATCAAAACCTACTATGCTAATCACCGATGCATCCAACCTCGGAATCGATGTTGTATTTAAACTAAAAGGACGCCCAGTGATCTGCATTTTACATCTACTTAATGCGGCAGGAAATGGGATACTCACAGACTCAAAAAGAAGCGTTGGCTTTATTTCGGGCCATTCGACGATTGTACAAGTACCTTTACGGATTGCGTTTTACCATCATCACTGATCACCAAGCGATACAGTTCTTGTTCAACCCCAACAAATCCATCGCGAAGTCCACTGGTGCTATGCTACAGAGGTGGAGCCTCGCCCCAGCCGCATACAACTACGATATTCAACATAGTCCAGGAAAGACGATCCCGCAGCATGAGTTCCTCTCTCGCTACTCACGATTTTCAGAGGCCAAACAGTATCGTTTCATCTCCCCAGCATCACCAGTGTCTCGAGAATCTTTATGCAAACCTGCGAAGCAGTGCTACGTGGCCATAATCTCAACGATCAAGGAGGGGTGGTCACCGGAGGTAAAGAGAAAGTATCCTCAATTCTTTGCTCACCGAGAGGAGTTTTCAGCGCAATTGAATGTTGCATTGTGTCGCGACGATAGAATGGTAATCCTACTGCCAATACAGAATATAATACCGGTCAGAAATCCCTCTCCGCTTAGAGCTAATAGTGTTGTCAAAACTTCCGCTAATCCTGCTTAAAATTACCACCTACGGACTATCCCCGTACCCCGTCCTATTTAGACCAAATCAGGCACCATCCAATTTGAACAAACCATACACCTTTAGTCCCAACCTATCCCCTAATGTCTGCAACAAATGCGTATTGCTTATCCGATCACCATAGGTGTGCACTATATTTGACACCCTCCACTTTCTCGCGTGAACTTATTCTAGCCCAACTACACCTAGGACCCGGTCCGGTTCTTAGTCATTCCATGGCATTCCTGGGCAAAATCCTTATTATCGCCTATCCCCCTGATCAACCTCAATTTACAACACCGAATCTAGGGCATACTTATTATCTACAAATGCTTCCATACTGTCCCGTACCTTTTGGACAGCCCATCCAAGGATACAATCCGTCCTTTACCCCACCAATAACCCCTCACCTACACTTCCCAGCTTCTATTCCCCTTCTCAGCGAATTCCATCTGAAGAACTATGAGAAGCTCCACCCCTGTGTACACACTATCCAGGTTCAATCCCTTACCTCTTACCATGTTCTTTACTGACGTACATAATCACAAATCTTAACTATATGCCTCAAACTTCCAACCCCAGAACGTCCCTGATCTCCCAAGTTTTCCCGTTCCCATCACTCCCATCCCATGGTATCACAAAGCTATGTTCACTGCCATAGCGTTTTACCTGAATTAACTCCGAACTCGCCACCCCTCCTACCCTCCTTTTTGCCTTATAATCTCAGTGAGCGTCAATTTCATACTTCCTCAAACGATGACATAAACCTCTTTCGAAGTATATTTGCTTCTACCGCATCAACCTTCGGTACCCAACCTTCAACTGATAGCCGTTACAGAATTTCCCTTCTTCTTTTGAATAGTCGCTCCATCATGAATAAGTTTAACTCGATCCAGAGTATTGTTTTTGCTTCCAGCCTTGACTTGATATTTGTTACAGAATCTTGGCTCCCTGAATCCACCTCGGCTGAACAAATGCCGCTGTCAGGTTACCACCTATTAAAGAAAAACAGAAGTCGCCGGAGTGAGGGCTACTTAGTTTACATCAAATATGACTTCTGCGCAACCCCTCATGATCACCCCTTACCAAACTCTATTGAGGATTCAATTTGGTTAACTTTGCAACTACCTAGCTCTTCCCTCCAAACAGGATGCTTATGTAAACCTCCCCGTACTTCTGCGTCAGACTTTCTGCCCATTATTGACGCTTGAAACTACCTAGCTTCATTGCGCGGCTGTTCTAAACTAATCGCTAATGACTTCAATGCACCTAATATTGACTAAAACACCCTCAGCTCTCCTTCTTAGCTTACTGATTTCATCTTATGCATTCGCATAGGTTACTGGACTCAGCAAGTTACATTCCTTAACAGGAAAAATAACATACTTGATTTGGTTTTCATTCTAAATCTATTAAATATCTATACTCGTACACTCAGTTACTTCCCTGGTAGTGATCACAGAATAATTTCATGTAAATTCTTTGCCCCGCTAACCATAAAGAGCACTCTTCTCCTAATCTTGCTCAACCTTGCTTCTCTTTGGATCTCTTTCCGGAACTCCTGCGATCTAGTGACTGGGATGGATTTTTCCAAGCATATGAGCCCCAGCAAATGGAGAACATGTCATAATCCAACCTTATATATAGCTTGACATTCATCACGTGCTACCACACACGCCCCATGTATAATCGACCTGACCTTATAACTTGCTTGAAAAATAAATACGCAAAAGCTCAATCCTCTTACACAAAATCCCATGACATATCCCTTTTCATTTCGTTACGTAAATTATCCGATGAAATCCGCAATCTTACATACAAAATACTTGAAAAACAGGAAAGTGTTGCTTTATCTAAAACAGATAAACTGGCAGTTTTGTCGCCTATATTACGATCCCGGAACGCTCATGCTCATCTCATCATAGATTACCTAAAATTGCAAGGTATTTCAGTCGCCAATTCACCTGAATCTATTGCAAATGCCTTCAACTCATTTTAAGATTCTCTATGATCATCGATACACCTTACGTCTCTACTTCTCCTGACTCTTCACCTGAGCTTATCCTATCCCATATCAAACTGCAGCCTCATGAGCTGATCAAACCCCTTCTTGCTAATAAACCTTCCACTCGTTTTGGTGCAGGTGGAATTCCTCCCGTATTGCTACGATCTGGAGGACCGGACATTCCGCTTCTATTCACAACCATGTTTAATCTCTCATTCAATTATGGCAAATTTCCCAGTCAATGGAAAATTTCTACTATAATCCCGCGATGTGAAAAGGGCCCTCTACATGACCCTTCCAATTATCGCCCCATTGATCACAATCCAGTCGCATTGCTACTCGTTAAAAAACATATGGCTAAATACCTTTTATCAAACAAGCTTCTCTACGATGGTCAACGTGGTTTCCTGCAAAACAGGTCGTGCAACACCTGTCAATTGAAAACAATTGAAAATCCCTGGTGATACTAGTTCTTGATATAACTAGGTCGTTTGACCGAGGCCCTCATATGCGGCTTGTTGCCAAGCTGCAAACTTTCGGTATCAAGCGCCCCATCCAGAAATGATTCTCCTCCCACCTCTCCAATCGCAACCAGGCAGTGTGTGTTGATGGCTACTTTTCCTTACCTACCCCTGTTACTAGTGGTGTAGTACAAGGAAGTGTCCTGGGAGCACTTCTATTCCTCATGTACATTAATGATATCTTTCCCATTGTCCTGCATGGTACATCTTTTTGTTTGCAGATGATATAAAAATAGTTCATTAGTTCGAGTAACATGAAATAAATCATATTATTACATTGATATAAAATAATCTCACCAGACTTGACCACTGGTGCCGCATATGGAACACGGAATTCTCGACTAACAAGAGTATCTTTAGGACGTTTCCATGCCATATCCCCCACAACCTTTCCTAATACAAGACACACCCATTACCTACAACCCGTCAGTACGTGAACTTGGAATACACTACTCTCACACATTCAACTTCTCTCTTTTCAAATTTCCAAAGCTAAAATAGCATTGATTTCATAAATAAATTGCCTTTACTGCATGAATCTATGCTGCTTCCTTACGTCTACTTCGTAAGACCATACTTGGAGTATTACCCAATAATGCTCTCTAGCACCAGTAAAGGGGATAAAATAGCTTTGGAAAATGTCTAACGTTCTTTCACCAAATATTTACTAGGATATAGTTCCCCAATTAACCATAAGAATCGATGCGCCGTCCGCAACATAGAACCCCTATAGTTAATTTGCATGACAATAAAACTTTGCTTAATCCTTAGGATAATCCACCGCAGCGTGTTTTCTTCCTCGAGTGCACTATGCAAATTTATGACGTGCCTATATTCCCTGCGTAATAGTAGATCCCGGTTAATGATCCCTAGGTCTCGCCTCTCCTTCCAATCCTACTTCTTCCTGATAAAATACGCTAGGTCATGGAACCTGCTTCCAAGTGAGATCCGCGAATGCGTATAAACGATCAAATTCAAAGCGATGCTTGAGCATTTCCTCAATGTGGAAAACGCACTTTTCATAACAAGAGCGAACCTTTAAACAAAAAAGATTTCAGCCGGGCTCAAACTAGAGCACTACAAGATCTTATTCCTGCGTGTTTAAACTCTCCTTCCGTTTATCACCCTCCAATAATCAGTGCCACATGCCAACCAGGTAGTGGGTTCACATTCACGTCTAAATAATATTTCAGTACATTGACAACGCCTTAAAACTCTACCAGTGGAATACAAAGCTTATCGGTAAATAACATATCGGATGTAGTCACCCACCTCTTCAATCATGGAACCCAGCACCTAACAATTCCTAATATATCTGGACTAAAATGTTTTTCGTAAAACCTTGTTTCTTTTATAATCGCACTGGAGTTCCATCGGGACTCGTCAATCAGGACCGTCCCATTGAAGACCTATTTTAATCTCG